ATGATGATGATGATGATGATGATGGTGATGATGATGATGACAATAAATCGAGAAGTAAATCAATCACAGCATCCTCTTGTGGGGGTTACGCTTTGGAATAGGTGGTACAGATAGCATTGCATTCCTGAGAGGCTAAGGAGAACAATGTCATTACGTTGATGATGTCCCCTGGACGTCACGGTTATGATGTCATGATGCATACTGGTGCTTTTGTGTCAATGAGTTTTTCCTCCCCCAAACTAAAAAGAAAATATGTTGAAGTAGAGAAAGGAACCCCATGACCTAACTGGAATGGAACGACAGGACTGCTTTCATATCTGGCAATAGGATTGATCCTGCAAGGTGCCTGTTCTCTTCTCCAGCATCACAAGCACTTCCCTCCCCATCAGCTCCTGTGGCTAATTTATCCAGGGCTGCTCCATTCCATATGCTGGAGTGTCAGACTAACTCCCTATCTGCGGTCTTAACTGCCCAATGCATAACCCAGATCCACTGGAAGAAACTTCCTTTCAATTGGGAGAACTTCTTGATAGTGAAATGTAATCAGCCATTGCATACATCCCTAAAAGGCCCTATCTTGCAGAAAAGGAGTCTCCTAGGACATCAGCCTAACTGAGTCCAGGTGAATGCTAACTTCAGCTCTGCAGTTATTTTGATATGTGGATTGAATTTCTCTTTTTTCCCCCCATCACAGTCTGAAAACGAAAAAACAAAACCCTACAATTGTGAATCTAAGTTGTTCCACTAAGCAGGATTTGGGAAGGGTATATGTTCTGAGGCATCTGCCCAATTTCTGTGAGTACTGATGGATAGGGTTGTGAGACGTGACTTTCTGAGCTCTCTGCCCATCCTTGAGGAACTCAGGAAGGAGAAAGGTTCGAAGAGGAGCATCGCCAGAGAAATGGTTCAGCCACAGAGAGCATGAAAAATGCAGCAATACATAATTTGATGGGGTTATTTTATCCCCCAAGCCTGTTTGAACTGTAACTTAACCTGCAAAGCATTGAATCTGGAATTTCTGAACTCTCTGTATTGCTGAAATCTAGCAATTACTGTGAATATCTGTTGATGAAGCAAAAAGCTTTGATTAAACAAATTTGTGTTGATGTTTCTTCCAATCTGAGTAGGACAGCTCTGATTCTTTTTTCCGTCATAAACGTGAGCAATTAAAAAAAGAAAACATTGATGTTGGTTTGCCAACTATCTTACTACCCTGTGTTTATCTGCAAAGCATGGGAAACATTCTATGTATCAAGCTGCTCTCAGGCGATAGAATAGGCCAGGCTACATTTTTCTGGGTCAGTTGGCCATCCCAGTTATTGCTGTACTTTAATCCAAGATGAAAAAGTTGGGCTGTGTGTACCTCAGGTATTAGCCATGTTGAACCTGGCTTGAAGATAATGGGAGGAGGGGAAGATCCCCCCTCCAAAAGATGGGTATCAAAGGAAGGTGGTGAGAAGGCAGGCACTGACTTTCAAAATGAGATATCAGTGGACCCATTTTGGAGGCATGATCTCCTCTTGAAGTTTTGGCTGCACACTCCACATGTTGCGCCCGTTTGGGGGACTGCAGCACTCTCTGATTGAATGCCATACAGCTCTCCCTGGAATAGTCATTGTGAACATTGTCCTAGTTGGTGGCAGGTTACCATCTCTTGGTTTCCCAAAGGCCTTGGGGGAGAAGTATACCATGCCTGATGTTACTTTTTTCTTTTCATGGATATTACAGATAATATGGCAAACCCATAGAGGTTCTTTTCTGTTTGAAAATTTGGTGGGGATGTCCAGCGGGGTTTTTATTTGACAGTGAAATCCATGGCACTTAAAGTGAAGATGCCCTCAAACCTAGCTGAACTGCAGATGAAGTTCTGCAGGTTTCTCAGTGGTGTTATGGACCTGCTGTCCCATTGCCGCCTTCTGTTTTTATGACTTAGTCTAGCCCATAGTCAACCTAATTGGGAGATGGTCAGAATTCTCCCTAATATTGATTTACAGATTGTAACAATGCAGCTATCTTTTGTTAACGGGCTATCGCTGAGGTCTGAAACTCCCATCAAACTCAAATTCTTAACAGGTTCTGCAACTTCCCAGATTAATTCTTCCTTACCTCCATCTACTTTTTCAGATGCTTCCCTGGCTTCTAGCTCCACCTTACCTTTCTAGATTCTTCCATGACCAGTCCCTCTAATTCAGTGATGACTGCTGTCCCTGAGGCTGATGGGAAGGAGGATAAGTTCATCATAGTGAAACCAAGACAACTTCTGAAGGTAGAGCCAACTAGATCTAGACAGGTAGATAGCCAGCATTCCCTTGTTTATACAGTCTAGCCATCTCCTTTATGATCTTTCAGATATTTCCCTAGCTCTGCCCTTATCAACCTTCTAACTTCCAGATTCTTCCATAGTTCTTCACCTACTTCCACTCCATCTTACTACTACCCTTGACCACTTCTGACCTTCTCTTTTGCCATTGCTCCCGACCCACCAGATTCTTCTCTGGATCTGCCTTCCTAACTCCAAGCAAAGGTCATTAACAATAGTTGCTCCTGCATGCTCTGAAATGGAATGCATAGCATTCCAGGACTTCCATTTCTAACAACCCAGAATCTTTAGAGCAGCATTTCTCAACCTTGGCGACTTGAAGATGTGTGGACTTCAACTCCCAGAAGTGGCTGGGGACTTCTGGGAGTGGAAGTCCATACATTTTCAAGCCACCAAGGTTGAGAAACACTGCCTCTGTGTACTGGTTACATCACTGAAAGAGGTTAGTAGATCTAGTTGCATCAGCTTTCCCCAACCTGGTTTTCTACAGATGTATTGGATCTACCACCCCAAGACTCCAAGCCAGCATTCTGGAGGGGAATTTTGGTAGTTGCAGTTCCAACACTTCTGGAAAATATCAGACTGACTGACTTAGATCGTGCTCCTTTGTGGTCTAAAAGTATTGAGTTCAATGATTTTACCTGGCAACATAAAAGCAAGAGGGTTTCCACTAGACTTCCATTGCTATAGGAATATCCTGGGCACAAATGTTATGGCAGATACAACTGATAACAGGATCCATGGGAACTGTAAATACAGAATCGTGGATGTGCATGGCAGTCCCATGAGGAACTTCCATAAATCTTGGTGACCTCTGCAAGCTACATGGCCTATGGATCCTTCCATCCACAATGCTGTCATAGCAGTGCTTCAGCTCCCACTGAGACATCATAACTGCAGCCCCTGGTAAATTTGGAAGGCAAAGTCTTTCCTTGGGAAACTGGGACAGCCTCAGCAGTGGTGGGGCTGGACAAAATCCAGCTGAACTCCTGGTAACTTCATGGACACATCCCATATAGTTTCCTTAATGACAATATTATTCCTTCCTCCCAGGAATTTTTTTTTTAAATAAATCCCAGTCTAATCTACACGGTTGAGTAGTCTCCCATCCAAATGCTTTCTCTCTAGCCAGGGTTGGCTCGATGCTGCTAAACTGACTGAAAATATCCTTTAGGCATGCCTATGCTTAGTAATGTGGCACAGTTAACATGCAATAATTTAAACATCTGGAGGATTACAACCCCCCCATGTAGCATTGCTCTCTGATTTTTAACCACAGAGACTCATATATCACACACATAACACCCATTATTCTATTTGCTTTGTTTCATTTCCCTCTATACTATCTCGTGTTTTGCTGCTCCATCCTTTTGGTCTATCTCAGTGTTTCTCAACCTTGGCAACTTTAAGATGTGTGGACTTCAACTCCCAGAATTCCCCAGCCAGCCATGGTGGCTGGGGTATTCTGTGCATAGAAGTTCACACATCTTTAAGGTGCCAAGGTTGGGAAAAACTG